ATATTAATACTAATACTATTACTAATACTGATACTCATACAAATACTGATACTAATATTTTTACTCATACTGATACTGATGCTATAAAAATAGTAATACTAATACTAATATTATACTAATAATATTGATACTAATATTAATATTGATACTAATACTGATATTGATACTGAAATTGATACTAATATTGATACTCATACTTATATTGATACTGAAACTGATACCGATACTGATACATACACTGATACTAATACTGATACTGATACCGATACTAATACTGATACTGATACTGATACTGATACCGATACTGATACTTATACTGATATTGGTACTGATATCGATACTAATACTGATATGGATACTTATACTGATATTAATACTAATACTATTACTAATAGTAATATTAATACTAATATCATTACTAATACTAATATAAATGCTAAAACTAATTTTATTGCTAATGATCGAATGCTAATGATACATATACATATATACAGAAACTGATATCGATACCGATATTGATACTGATACTGATACTGATACTGATACTGATACTGATACTGATACCGATACTAATAATGATACTGATATTGGTACTGATACATATTGTGGTACTGATACATATTGTGGTACTTATACATGTATCGATAATAATATTGATACGGATACTTATACTTATGTTAATACTAATATTTATACTAATACTAATATTAATACCAATACTAATACTAATACTAATACTAATACCAATACTAATACTATTACTAATACTAATATTAATACTAATTCTATTATTAATAATGTTACTAATACTAATATGTTAATATTGTTAATGTTATTGCTAATACTAATTTTGATGCTAATGATAATCTAAATATGCTAATTATGATTGTAATTCTAATATTATCCAAATCCTTATCGTATTCCTAATTCTATTCATAACACTAATCATAGTTCGAATCATAATCATAATCATAATCCTATTCCTAACACTAATCATAAGCCTAATAATTTTAATACTAATGATGCTAATGTTAATTCTAATTCTAATCTTAATTATAATTCTAATTCCAATAATCCTAATGTTAATCATATTCCTAATACTAATATATATCACTAATTATCGTACTAAGCATAATCATAATCTTAATTATAATTCTAATACTAATATTAATCATAATCTAATATTATAATAATCCTAATCACAGTATGAATCCCATTTCTAGTATTACTACTACTAATTCAAAGAATCTTAATTATAATTTTAATTCCAAAACTAATATTAATCACAAATTCTAATTTACAGATCTGTTTTTGCAATGATCTATTATTTAGTATAAATAAATAATTATATTCAATCTCGAACATTTATATCAAATTTCTTATGTGTGGTAGCTGCATGAACCATAAAAAAACACATATTAAATATATTAGAAATTAATATTTATTATATTATCAAACTGACATTAAAATTATTTAAAATATTATAAGGGTATAAGCAAACGTTAAGACGTAAAAGAACAATAATCATTGTTAATAAGATAAATTATGAAAATCCTCTTGAACTTAGGCTAAATTACAGAAAACACCCCAACTTATCGGTGATTACCGAAATTCTCCTGATGGTTGTTTATGTCTTACACGACCCCCTTATGGTTGATTTTTTTACGGAATCTTTTTAATTCCATATAATGTCCCAAAAAATATGGAGTCTACCCTTGCAGACGTGACATTTCTTTTATCGTACATTTTAAACTCAAAAGTTACCCTCATGGGTGGTTATGGTAATAATAAAAATTTGTGAAAGTGTTATTTAAGAAGAATAAAGATTTCGTGTAAAGTTCACCTAAGGGTAATTTTTGTCTTTAAAAAGTACCATAAAGAAATGTCGTGTGTGCAGGGTATAATAAGGATTAAAAATTCCTTGAAAAATCATACCATAAGGGGGTCAATGTAAGACGGAAACAAACATTAGGGGAATTATTAATATAAACTATTTACGGCAAGAGCACTTCGAGTGGCATTATTAAATGAGCTATCAAAACATTTAACCACCATTTTTATACTCCAAAATAGTAATTTTTAATTCTAATAGAGTTATGAAATGAGGTATTTTGATATTTCATCTTTCAGAATGTAAAAATACATTATGCAATCATGGAGTATAAAATATCAAACATGAGTTATGAATTTAACCATCTTAGTGTCCATTTAGAAAATAACATATGGCAATTAGATATATTTAATTAACAACTATTTAATACCTATGGTTGGAGCAAATACATTTAGATAAATATCAAAATAAAATATTAAATAGCACATAAATACTTGCAAACTCATTTTGATACTTTTGGGTTAGTGTTGCTCTAGATATTTAACTATATTTATTAGAGTTATAATGAAATACTTATTAGTGGAATACAATATATAGTATATACGACCATTATACATTTTAAACAAAACAATTGATATTCTTAATGTTAGCCATTAAATAAAGTGGATAAATGAATTTAATACCAAAGAGAATTATTATATTTTGAAATATATAAAATCAATTCGTTTTTTTTATCAATTGATTAAACATAACTCAGGTTATTCAATTTATTAGTATAATCATGATAAAATTTGTATTGTAATTAGTACATAATTTAAAAGGTTAAATCAATCGTAAAATTGATTGTCACTGGATTCAGTGAAGAAAAAATAATTATTTAAACTATAACATGAAATTCATGTAGTATAATTTTCAATTTGGTAAATAATTGGGAGTACATTACTCGACACATGGCATAACAAATAGTGTCAATTTTCGCAAGATAGTAAATTCAAACACGTATCTTTCTTTTTTACAGATAATATTAATAGATAATATTAAATTATTAAAAAAATGCATATTCTCTAGTCATGTTCATGTAAAATGTATAATATCTAATAATTTATTCTGAAATATTATTTTTAATATAAATCCAAGTTTATGAATTAAAATTATAATAATTCGTAACACCACCAATCATGCAATTATAATAAGAGGAGATTTTAAATCGAATTTAACTAAATTCAAATTAAATTAATTATAAAATTAAATTCAAAAATAATTTATTTAGGGTTTCCAAGAAAGTTGATATATTAAGAGCATTTTATAAATGGTAGGATATAAATATATTAATAAAATAATTAAATATATTTAATTACCTTTAATTTTGGAAAACGATGACATGTTTTTCTATGATTTATTTCGATCAATCAATTCGCCACTTGGGATGAAATTGAGGACATGTCATCAATTAAAATTGCCAAATGTCAATCAATTAGCTATGGAATTCAACTTTTATATATTATATAGATATATATTATTATATTTTGAAATATATAAAATCAATTCATTTTTTTATGATTTGATTAAGCTTCACTTAGGTTATTCAATATATTAGTATAATCATGATAAAATTTGTATTTTAATTAGTATATAATTTAAAAGGTTAAATCAATCGTAAAATTTATTGCCACTGGATTCAGTGAAGAAAAAATAGTTATTTAAATAATAAAATGAAACTCATGTAGTATGATTTTCAATATGGTACATATTTGGGAGTACATTACTCTACACATGGCATAACAAATAGTGTCAATTTTTGCAAGATAGTAAATTCAAACATGTATCTTTCTTTTTTACAGATAATATTAATATATAATATTAAATTAGTAAAAAAAATACATATTCTCTTGTCATGCTCATGTAAAATGTATAATATCAAATAATTTATTCTGCAATATTTTTTTTAATATAAATCCAATTTTATGAATTAAAATTAAAAAAATTCGTAACGCCACCAATCATGCAATTATAATAAGGGAAGATTTTAAATCGAATTTGACTAAATTCAAATTAAATTAATTATAAAATGAAATAAAAAAAATAAATTTATTTAGGGTTTCTAAGAAAGTTGATATATTTAGAGCATTTTATAAATGGTAGGATATAAATATATTAATAAAATAATTAAATATATTTAATTACCTCTAATTTTGGAAAATGATGACATGTTTTTTGATGATTTATTTCCACCAATCAATTCGCCACTTGGGATGAAATTGATTACATGTCATCAATTGTAATTGCCAAATGTCAATCAATTAGCTATGCAATTCAACTTTTATATATTATATAGATTAAATTAGTTGATAAAATTATTTTCATAATTAGTTTTTTAAAATACTGATTGAAAATAGATTATCCATCATACTACATTTAATATTATTATTTTTAAATTAGAGATGTCATTGAGAAATTATATTTTTAGATCAAGGTTGTAAACGGCGGGAATCGAGTCGGAGGCGGTTAGGCACTGCCTCACGATTTAATCGGCGCGGCGGTGAATAATGATAAATCGGAAATAAATCATTTTTACAAACTTAAATGTAATATATTTATAGATATCATTTATAAATACTCAAAACATATATAAGAATTAAGAAGATATTTAAACATGATTATATCCCCTATCATTTATATATCCTGATCACATAATATAACTTTAATAATAATAAAATTATAATATAATAAAAATCCTTACAAAATAGAAATAAAACAAAAATCTTCTTCATTCAAATATTATGCTTGAATATTGTAATGCATATATCAGTATGTTCGTTAAAAATAACAATTAACATACATAAACTCATTTTTTATTAAAAGCCAAACTTTTTTTTAGGGCTAATAAAAAAAACAATTTTTGACCGATTTTTTTGACTGCCTCGGATAGCATCAAATTGCCTCATAGACTAAAATTGATCTTTTCAAACATTTACATAAAAAACGTATAGATTTTGGACCCCCTCCACCTCTAGCGATTTTTAGAACACTAGTTATAAACCATCAGCTAACGAAATGGACCAAAAGTGTTACAAAATCAGTAGGTAGGGACGGAAATTTGTTCGTCTAGAAACATCGAGGTTGAAAAGTGAAATCAATGTAATCTCGAGGGACTAAAAATACAATTATTGTTAAAAATTAGCATGACAAAACTCATCGCCGCCGAATTACAGACATTCGCTCTTCGGAAGGTTAAATTGAAACTTTTTAACTTAAAACCCTCCACACACACTCCTCAATTTCCCCCCAATTAAATTCACCAAACCCTAATCTTCGATCTCTTCAACCTGCGCCAGACGATTACGCTTTGAGTTGTAGCTATGAGCCGATACGACAGCCGCTCCGGCGACCCTGCATCCTACCGCGACCGCCGTGGGTAAGAAGAACCGGCTGTACATTTTATTTTTTTCCATCGGAAAAGTGAGACTGCGATGAACTTCCATCTATATATGCTTAATTTTAATTTTAATTTTTTTGATTGTGAATGTTAGGGATTCGGGATTTGGTTATAAGAGAGAATACGAGAGCAGCAGCTATCCATCTTCATCTTCGGGGAAAAGGGAGCACGAGGGTGGAGCACAGTCTCCGCCTCGGAAATCGAATTTGGATGGACTGACGCCGTTTGAGAAGAACTTTTATGTGGAATCTCCGTCTATTGCTGCTATGTCAGAAGGAGAGGTGGAGGAGTATAGGCTCCGGCGCGAGATTACTGTCGAAGGAAAGGATGTGCCGAAGCCCGTTAAGAGTTTTGATGATGTTGGTTTTCCGGGTAATTTACGATGTTTTATTTATTATTTTATTTTTGTTAGAATTTAGAACGATGGACTAGTTTGTGCCAGTTAGTTAGTTTGATTCTGTTATTATGTGAGTGCATGAAATAACTAGAACCTTGGAGCAAAATGAAAATATGTCTGAAAATTACGACATAGTGTTTGCTGGGGGGTGAGGGACACGAGTCAAGGATTCTCCCTTGTTTATATGATTGAGTCGTTTATTTTTGCCACTACAGATTATGTTATGCAAGAAGTCGTAAAGGCTGGCTTTACGGAACCTACACCTATCCAAGCTCAAGGTTGGCCTATGGCCTTGAAAGGACGAGATCTTATTGGTATTGCAGAGACAGGGTCTGGGAAGACAATTGCTTATCTCTTACCAGCTATTGTTCATGTTAATGCCCAACCATTTTTAGGTATTTCAGGATCTTCTATGTATTAATTAGATGGATCTACATCGAGTGGCTGCATGTTTAATTTTTCAATTTCTTTTCAGTCGCTCATTAGTTGACAGAAACTCTCGATGAATTCTATGTGTTTCTTTGTTAGCTCCTGGAGATGGCCCCATAGTTCTAGTATTAGCTCCAACTCGTGAACTTGCCGTTCAGATACAACAAGAAGCTACTAAATTTGGTGCATCATCAAAGATTAAGAGTACATGCATATATGGTGGGGTTCCAAAGGGGCCCCAAGTTCGTGATCTTCAGAAAGGTAGGTGGTGATAAGCTCAACGTGACTTTACTACTTCATGGATCGGGTATTCCCTTCTGCTTCTTCTTTTCTTTTTACTTGTGTTCCCACTTTTAGTCCAGAATTCCGTAATCATCTTGCTGCGTCTCACTAGGTGTTGAAGTTGTAATTGCTACACCTGGAAGGTTAATTGATATGTTGGAATCACATCATACAAACTTGCGGAGGGTAACATATCTGGTACTGGATGAGGCGGATCGGATGCTGGACATGGGCTTTGAGCCTCAGATCCGAAAAATTGTTGATCAGGTTAATTCTAATTTAGTTTAATGGAAGCTCCAATTCAATTTGCTAATCTAATATTTGGATCTGCTTATGTGATGAGTTCATTGCCTCGTTGCCCGTTGGTATATGTGAGTTTGTGATCCAACATTTTATTTGGTCATTAGTTGGTGCATGATATGGACATCCTTGTTTACATTTCTGATTCGGATTCTCAATGGATTTTGCAGATTCGCCCGGACCGTCAAACTTTGTACTGGAGCGCGACTTGGCCTAAGGAAGTTGAACAACTTGCCAGACGTTCCCTGTTTAATCCATATAAAGTAAGTGTTGTTTATTTTGATACATTTTATAATAAAGTAAGAATATATACATGAAACTATCCATGTTTAATTCTACTGCTTCATTTGTAAGTACATTTCCTATGTCGTTTTACTGCGAGGTTTTGGTGCTCTATATCGAAGTTTGGCTTGTAAAATGTACCAACTTCTATGATCGAAAGCATAGAAGCTGCAATTTCTACGATCTTGACTGTTGTTTCGTTAATTCTTTCACTCTGCCGGTTTTAGTTAGTACCAAATAACACAATCTTATCTTGTCAGAACCCAATTGTGTACTTGGATCAGAGGAGGTCCAACACACAATTCCCCAATAAACCAAGATTTTTGTTCATTTTTCCACAATTGTGGGACGGCCCGAAAAGTATTGGACTAACCAAACATCAATTAATGATTAATTATTTAATTAATCACGACTAATCGTACCAACTAAACGAGGCCTAAATGATTGAACTGCTGAAACCTGGCTCTGACTTGATAGCACAAGGAAAGCTTCGTAATACTCAAGAGTGACAAGAGTGCAGTTTATGAAGCAACTGGAATAAATAAGTCTAATTTCAGTCTTAATTTTCTCAACACAGCTGTTAAGTTATCAGATGTTTAACGTTTTTACTTTTTCAAATTGGACCCGGTGGACAGGTAACTATAGGTTCGCCAGATCTGAAAGCCAACCATGCAATTCGCCAGCATGTTGAAATTGTCTCCGAGAATCAAAAATACAACAAGTAACTCTCTATAGCCCCTTTTTCCTAATCTTTGAAATTATTATCATAGAATTTCTTTCAGCTGTATATGTTGGTATTAATTTTAATTTTTCATTCGACCACAATTTCAGATTGGTGAAGCTTCTGGAGGACATTATGGATGGTAGCCGGATTTTAATATTTATGGACACCAAAAAAGGTTGCGATCAAATAACTAGGCAGCTCCGCATGGATGGTTGGCCTGCATTATCCATTCATGGTGACAAAAGTCAAGCGGAGAGAGATTGGGTCCTATCGGAATTCAGAGCTGGCAAGAGTCCCATAATGACAGCTACCGATGTAGCAGCTCGTGGCTTAGGTACTTCTAAATTGCTGCATTTATCTTAAAACATGAGAAAGTACGTTAGAGGCATTCTCTTACCACGATTGCGCAATGACAATGCTAAATTGGCAACGTTTTTTGAATTTTGCAGATGTCAAGGATGTGAAATATGTCATCAATTATGACTTTCCGGGATCTCTAGAGGATTATGTTCATCGTATAGGTCGTACTGGAAGGGCAGGTGCAAAAGGAACCGCATACACTTACTTCACTGTTGCTAATGCCAGATTTGCAAAGGACCTCATTAATATTCTCGAAGAGGCTGGACAGAAGGTCAGTTCTGAGCTCGTAGCTATGGGCCGTGGTGCACCTCCTCCTCCAGGTAAACCTTATATTTATGCAAGTGTCTGTGCACTTTATTTGGTCCAATTTGAAGATATAGAGCCCGTTTGGCTAGACTTATATTAAACAGCTAATAAACTCTTACAACTTTATAAGCTGTTTTAAGAATGATTAACGGTTGCGTTTTATTTTAGAATTAATTTGTGAAGTGTTTTGATAATAAATAAGCTTATAAGTTATTTTTACTGTTTTTAAGATCTTTGAATAAAAAGGTGGGGGTATAAGTACTTCTAAAAAAATCTTATAAGCTCTCCAACAGTTTATCTTTTGAATTTTTAAGATCTTTTTGAAAAAAATTACCAAACATTTTGGAAGAGCTTATAAGGTCTTAAAGATCTTATACGATGTTTTTAATAGCTTATAAGGTTATTAGCCAAACACCCTCATAGTTCTTGATTTGAGAATGCTTCACTTTTTTTTTTGTTTACATGTGGCAAGAAAGTTATATTTCTGTTTTTTTATTGAATTAAAAAGGGCAGGACGACTTCAATTTTTTTACGATAAATGTTTTGCATCGAGTTCCATGTTTTATCCGTTCCAGTTTTGCCCTTTATTAAAACTGTGGGTCCCACCCCCCTTTTTTTTCGCTGCTGACTTCAACATCTATTATCGCTTCCTAATGGTTTCTGTGATTGATAATAATAGCGTATGGAGGTAGCCGTGGAAGGGGATTTGGTGGTGGCCGATCTTGGAACTGAGAAACGAATGTCGATAAAGCTACGTGCAATGGTATTATTAGTTTCAGTTATTTTGAGAAGATGATGCAGTTTTTTGGCAGAGTCATGATTTTATTATGCTTGTAAACAGCTGAATCTTCCTTGTGTAACATTTGTTGAGGACTTCAATTTAGAAAGAGAAATACTTCATACTTATGTGGTTTTGATACTTGTGTTAATATCTATTTTGGATCATGATTAAAATTTCAATTAGATGTCATTTGTAGGGAAAAGGTACTAACAGGGGGCAATTCGTTCATCATACATGGATTTCAACTCTAGCTCAATTGTATATATTTAATGTCAAATTACGAAACCTCCCTCCTATTTTAGTAATTACAATTTGCTACTACTATGAATCTTTTTTACACAACAATCCTTGCGGTACCAAATTTATTGGAATCTTCTAGATTATGTGGAATATTCTTTAGTTTGTACCGGTTTTATTCCAATTCGAGATCCACATTATGAAACAAGATGATCATAAGATGTGTCTCTTGGCTATAAAAATATTAGATTGTGGTGCATCAGAAACTGCATTTAAGCACAAAATGAGTACAAACTAGAGAACAAGATGTGTCTCTTGGCTGCATTTAAGCACAAAATGAGTACAAACTAGAGAACAATATGTGTCTCTTGGCTATTAAATAACTGTATTTTTTCACAGAATGATTACAAACTGGCTATTAAATATTAGATTGTGATGCATCAGAAACTGCATTTTTTCACAAAATGATTACAAACTAGAGAATGTTCTACGGAATCTAGAAGATTATGTATGTTGAATTTGACACCTTGAGGATGAATGTGTAAAATCTAGAAGATTATGTTGAATTTAACACCATAAAAATGAACGTGTAAAAAGATTCATAACTGAGGAGGTGGTTGTAATAACTCAAATAAGAGGGATACTTTCATAATTTAACCGTACATGGTGTCCGTCAATTACCTTTAAGAAAAACTCTATAAAACATAATAGGAGATTTTTTGTAGCAATTAAAAATAAATGGGGGATTTTGCAATTAATTACTCGAGAGATGGAGTGGGAAGCAATTCACTCGATACTAAAACGACGCCGTAGCCTCAGAAAAAACACGAAAGGTATAATGCTAAAACGACGTCGTAGCCTCAGAAAACCCCGTCTCAAAACCCACCAACGAAAGGAATAATTACGATGAGTACCTGAAAGAAAACCAGCTCGGAAGAAGATTAACAATGAGCGGAGAAGCCCCAAAGCTCTTCAACAACAAACCCAAAAAATGTCTGTCTCTCAACAATAATCTCTTACTTTTTCTTATTTTGCTTTTTTTAATTTTGTTTTTTTAGTTTTGTTTATTGTATCACTTGCTAATCAGATTATTGCTTATTCTATATTCCGATTATTCTAATCGTTGTTTTTTTAAAATTTTTTTTTTGGGGGTTTCATAATAGCGAGGTGGAAAGCATCTGAACCGATCGCAATGGCATCATCATCGTCAACGGGAGCTGTGGCTCCTCCTCCGCCGCCGTCTCCTCCTCCGTTGCCTCAGAAGGAGTCGCTTCTCCGGCGGTATAGGTTCCTCGTGCCACTTATATTGGTTTGCAATTTCGCCGTAGGAGGTAATTTTTTTATTTATTTTTAATTCCAGTGTCTCCATATGCTGTGTGTTTAGTTTACATTCATGCGGGTGATGAGTTTATGTGATTAAGAAATTCTGATTATTAAGTGCCACAGATAAAATTTGCTGATCTGAACAAAAATTATAGGGTATGTAGGATTTGTATCTGAGGAGTTGTTTATTTTAATTTAATTTTTGTTCCTCGATTTCGTATGCATAACTTGGGGGTTTTTTCGGAGTAAAATCGGAGCACCTTCATTAGGTTTCATTCTATGGCTTTGTGACTCGTGTCGATTAGGGGATTTTGGATTACAACCGAAGCATTGTGGTGACGTATTGATATCATGGTTTTCATTACGTGGCCTCTCTTACGAATCCTTTAATAGGTTGCATCGTTTGTTCGTTTGTTCGATCCGTATTTTGGTGGTGAAGCTGAGGAGGTTTATATTGAATTTACGTTTATTAAGATTTATCTCTCTTATTTAGAATGGTAAAATAATGGTAGAGGGATTGTCATTGCAGTGTAACTGATTTCTAGAACAGTTCAAACGAGAATTTGCTTATTCTTCATTTGGTCACTACTCAAGAGACAACAAAATTATGAAACTGATTTTTTCAATTCAAATCTTTCGATATTATGCTCTTACATATCTCAGAGGTTTCTCTTAAGTACGATAGGGACTTCATCTCAATTATGTTTTACATAAGTGATCATACTGATGTCCCTCATTAATTGTTACTTTTAGATTCAATATCCCAACTGAGAAAATATCTGAATAACCTCCTATCATCTTCGAACCACCAATACTCGATATAACCAATACAAAATCTTGAATGTCACAGATCAAGAATCGTTGGTTAGTTCAATGTAATTGCTGTGTGTCGTGTTTCACCCTTTTCTTCAGTGTCATTTGTTATGGATGAAAAGTTTTTGTCAACCTACCATTTGTTAATCTGGTGAAATGAAGCTAAATTATTTCTTGTTCGAACTTCGAAGTGATTTCTTTGTTTTCTTAATTTCTTTAAATAATTATTTGCTGAATTGCACATTAGACTCCCGGTAAGTGGTACCTCAAACTAGCAGTGTATTCGCCACGGTCTTTCTATTTCGTTCTGTTTCATGCCTGAACTCATCATATTTGTGTGACATGCAAGGTAGTTAAAATGCCGATTAAAATCCCAGGATTTTACGATTTTACAATCCTCTTACCTTGCCAAATCCCAATCCAAGAAAAATCCTTCAAGTTTTGGAGTAAAATCCTTCAAATTTTGAAATCTATGATTTCACTGCGATTTTAATGATTTTACATTGGGATCATAGTCGGGCCACGAGTCCGTTTATTGCGCCAAAATCAATTTTTTTTCTTCAATACAAGTAAAGCCTAACTATTTCAGCACCTCGTTAAATGTTTTCTTCGATTCAAGTAACATGACGAATTCTATTTAAATTTACAAGATATGTAAAATCCTACAATTTTACAATTGCCATTTTAAATCCTCTTTCAATTCTACTTAAAACCCCGATTATGACCACCTTGGTACCATGAGAATTGTCTTTTTGGACTTGTTCTGTGTATGCGGCAATTAATGACCATTATACCCTTATGTGATCTTGTTTGAGAAAAGCACACTCTGTTTTATGCAGCCTACGTTGTCGTGAGGTATACGATGAAAGATAAGACCAAATCCGAAGAAGAAGAAGAGACATCGGTGGGTCCCACTAGTTCTTCATCAACCTCAGCTACTATTTCTGATACTTCTAAAATTATCGAAACGCCGATCACTCTACCAATAGTAGAGCCCATAAAACGAGCACCGATTCCAGTTGATAACCAGCGTGAACTGTTCAAATGGGTGCTAGAAGAGAAGAGGAAAGTAAAACCAAGAGATGCTGAAGAGAAAAAGCGCATTGACGAGGAGAAAGCTATTCTGAAGCAGTTTATCAGAGCCAATTCCATTCCAACTATCTGATAAGTTTTTTCTTTACTCAAAGAAACCTTTTTGATCCGTTCCTCCGATTTTCATTTTTTTTTACGTATCACGAGGAATTCTTGATGTTCGTTTGTTTTGATTTCGATGGTTTGAGTTGCGGTTGGGAAGAATATTGTTTGCTAATTGTCACTTCTTTGTTTAGGTGGGGGTTGAGTTCTGCTTTAAACACATCTTTTTTCATAAATTTTGAATCTGAATTGAAGATTTTTGTGTGTGTGTGTGTGTGATTTTTTTCTAGCCTGAAGAGAAGATCTAGCATTATTATTTATTATCTATTCATTATTAAAATCAAAGATCAAAGTAAGAAAAAAGAAATTCTGAAAAGGCAGAAGCGCGTCCCATTAGTATATTAGTACACGCTCATTCTATTAATTTTTTTAAGAAAAAGTTTTGAGATAAAACTTTGGGGTTTTTCAATATTACTTTTGAGATAACACCTAAATTTATTCGGTCTTAAAATAGAGTGAAAATAAATAAGAATTTAGGGTTTATTTCGTCTGTGAGATGCTATAGCTGGTGAGAAATATCGAGTGATTTTGTATCATAGATCTGTACAACTAATTATACACATATATGTGTGTTATTATGTGTAGACCAATGGTACATAATTACCTGATGTATTTCACAGAGTGTAACATCTACAGAATCGATTTATTTGATACTACATCCAATGAATTTTATTGTCGAGATGTGGACACACCACGAATCCCACTTAAAGTTCCCACAATTACATGCAAACTTTTCCATACCAAATCAACAAACTAACAAATATACACACAAATGCTAATTTATTCCTTACCTTATATAATCATATCCACAAAGTTTTATTGTCAATTTACTCAATTAAAGTTAGATATTTGGCTCAATTGGCCAAACGATAGAAGGTCTATGAGACGTCACACTTGATGTGCAATATACTGGTGGTTTTAAACCATTGATATGTATAAATAATTATTTACAAAACACATATACAAATATGAGTATGTGTCGTTATATGTAGATCAATTGTTTAGTATCAACCGATGTATTTCATCGGGTGTGACGTATACAAAAGCTAAACCATGACATAAGCGCTTATATTGGGGAGTTTGATACAAATAGAATGATGGGTTTGTGCTAAAGTACCAAATTTGAACTATATTTTAATATTTGGGCAATTATTAAAGGAAAGAAGAGAGGAAAGTTAGAGGTATGGAGATTCTTAATATTGAAATTGCCCCCCAAAGGAATTGAATATTACAAAGCAAGTGTGAATGATTAGCTTGTAATATTTATTTATTTGTAGCTGCACAAACGGTCAACACAAATACTTTGAAAGTTTTTTGAGAGGGTATTTTATATGGGGGCATGATTTTTGTATATCGATTTATCGCGGTATATTCGGTGAATTCTACTTAATTAAGTTTTCTAGAGTATACGAATACGACAAACACATATTTCACACACATTCACAACTATATATGTATTAGTACATTTTTATTTTGAGCGTGAAAACTATCTGATGTATTTCATCAATCGTACCATCTATAAGTAGTGGTTTCTCTCAGGCGCAATTATATACGTAAAAGGGAAAATAAATACTTTCAGATTCAATATATGTTCAATATTACTCGTTTCTTCTTCTTCACTTCTTCTAATCCTTTAGTATTTATTATTATTATTATTGGAAAAAAGTTAGTTCCAAGATCCAATATGGCCCTCAAATAATAGCAATGCTTTTGGCACAACAATGAAGACCATGCCAAACTTAATAACTATATAATTAATTACAATTTTTATTATTAAACACATAAAAATCTTGTTAAAGAGTTGCAGCCGTTGAAGCCACATGAGGGCATTCATTCACAATAATTTGATTTTGACCAAGTAAAGAAAAATAAAAAAATAATAATTAAGTAATATTATTTATTAGGAGTTGGCCAAATTGCTTTTGTAATCTAACAATGATTCCTTACCTTACGTGGAGATCCTATATTACAATATTAATTATTAAATTCAAGAAAATTTAATTTAATTTTACTTTTAACATAGATATTTGAATTTCTTCTTAGTAATTAAATTTTAAAGATGGAGAAGGTATTATATTTTATTGTTATGTATGGTCACAGCTGCTGCAAATCACACACATATTATATACACCCACTACTCAATCATATGCGCATGGGGAGATTTTTAGTTTGTTTTAACAAACATTTATTTTATTTTATTTTATCTATTGTTCTAATCAAGAAAAGATAAAATTATACATGTTAGTTATGTAACGATCTTATGATTAATTAAGATATAATCACACCAAATCCCACATATGTATTGACTCAACAATCTATTAATTGGCTTATACTTAATTAATTACAATTGATGGAGACTTGGAGTAGAAACCACACCTTTAAGACTTGTCTTTGAACTCAACTCCCTCGATCACCGGAGAGCTCATCAATCGTCGGATCTAGTCGACGACAATGAACAAAATGACTGGAAAAAATATTGATATTCAATCGTAACCCTAATAGGGTTTTCATCTTTATTTATAGGGTAAATTACAAACACCCCCCTGAGGTATGGTCAAATTGCAAAAACACCCCTCTTGTTTGGATAATTACAACCACCCCCTCAACTCCTCAAATTTAGTGAAATCTTCGAGATTATATGGAATATTATCACTTGTGTACCCGTTTTATCCCATTCAAACTCTACATTATGAAGCAAGATGATCATAATATGCGATTTTTAGCTTGTATATATCAGTTTGTGGTGCATCGGAAACTGTATTTTTACACAAAACGAGTACAAACTAGAGCACATTCCACGGAATGTAGATGATTATGTTGAATTTGGCACAAGAAGGGTGGAGGTGTAAGAAAAAATCATAGTTGAGGGGGGCAGATGTAATTATCCAAACAAGAGGGGGATTTTTGTAATTTGACCATACCTCAGGGGGTGTTTGTAATTTACCCTTATTTATATAGAAAATTATGCATGACTACATATTTTCCTTATCTATTTACGCAAATTATGCTAGGTTCTTCTTCTCCAACGGCTATTTTCGAGCTCGTCACCTACCGTACCCTATTCACCTTCTTATATGCGATGTGTTATGTGTTAACGGGCTTCTATATATGCGAACTACTTATTCAGCGATCTCGTTATCTCTAAGTCCTCTCTTAGCATCGGTCCGGCCGCCATGATGCTCACGTTCATTGGGTCTTGGTTTAATGGGTTTTTATCTCTCTCTCTCTCGGCAATATGTATGTGATGACTAGTCACAAATTCATTTAATTTCCTCGAGTTGTTACATATAATATATTCTGTCCCATTCTTTATCAAACAAATACTATATTCTCTTATTCATTATTAATTAAAAAAAAAGTACTCTCTCTCTCTCTCTCTCTCTCACACACACACACACACATGCACACCACTAGTCCAGTGGATGCAACCATATACTACCAGTCACTTAGTTACCTCCGCCACTGACCACTGCAACTTTTATTATATATATATATATATATATATATATATATATATATATATGAGAGACATTGAACAGAAAACCAAGAACACAAAAACCTGGTTGTAGAGAGAGAAAATACAAATGGACATGATTTTCTGGAATTTGGTATTAATAACAGCAGCAGCAGCAACAATCTTGTGGTTTTCCTCCGCCATTTATGCGTACATGAAAATCAAATTAATCACATCATCAAAACTTCCTCTTGGCAGCCTCGGAATATTCCCTTTCCTCGGAGAATCTCTCCACTTCATCTCCTCCGCTTATTCCGACCGCCCCGAGTCCTTCGCCATCAAACGCCGCCGCATGTCAGCCCTCTCTCTCTCACACACACATGTTTTTTCATTTTATTTATTGTCAAATTACGAAAATACCCTTCTTGTTTTGTTTGAATAATTACAGCCACCCTTCCATTAAAACATTTTTACATAAAATTTACGTAATTCAGTTATTTACCGAACCAAATCGTATATATATTCAGTTCGGTAAACGGTGTGAAATGTTGGCGTACCGAAATTTCGATTTGATTTTACCTATTTAACGTCTTTAAATTTAACTCTGGAGGGGTATTTTCGTAATTTAACCATAACTCAGGGGTGACCGTAACCTCTCCTTTATTTATTTTGTTGTTGCTACAGGTATGGGAAGGTATTCAAGACACACTTATTTGGGAATCCAACAATAGTATCAACTGATGCAGAAGTAAGCAGAATCATTCTGCAGAGTGATGCCAGAATATTCGTTCCATCTTACCCAAAATCACTTATGGAATTGATGGGAAAATCCTCCATTCTGCTAATTAATGGAAGCTTACAGAGAAGAATCCATGGCTTAATTGGTAATTTCTTCAAATCTGCAAATTTAAAAGCTCAGATTACATCCGAAATGGAGAAGTATTTGTTGAAATCAATGGGTAATTGGAGGGAAGATTCTCCTGTTTACATTCAAGATGAAGCTAAACATGTAAGTATTTCTGTGTGTGTGTCCCAGTGTGTGTATTGTGTTTTTCAAGATTAATTACTATACGTGAAATATTAATTAATTGGAATTAATTAATCTAATAATCATTGATGTTTTTTTTCCTTTAACTTTTGCATGAATTATTAGAAATAAATGATAGGGCAAATTACGGCCACCTCCCGGAGATAAGATCAAATTACGAGAGAGTCTCTATTTTTTGGGCAATTACAATCACCCCTTTAAACTATGTATTGTCTTACGAAAAAACCCCTCCTTAAGTGTGACGTGTAAGACAGTATATAGTTGAGGGGTTCGTTGTAATTACCCAAACAATAAAAGGGTTTTTTCGTAATTTGGTCTTATGTGAAGGAGGTAGCCGTAATTTGCCTTAAATGATAATTATGTCTGCTTAATTTTAATTTAATTTAATTAAATTTAAATTGTTTATGAACAGATTGCATTTCAAGTGCTGGTGAAAGCACTGATTAGCTTGGACCCTGGCAATGAAATGGAGCTGCTAAAGAATCATTTTCAAGAATTTATTAAGGGACTTATGTCTTTACCATTTAATTTTCCCGGCACTCAGCTTTATCGATCGTTACACGTAAGTTAAATTAAATATATATTTTTTCATTATTATTAAAACAAAAAAAAAATCTGAAATAAATACTATATGATAAAGTTCTGTGCTTTTTCTTTTACTAATTTTTTTGCAGGCAAAAAAGAAAATGGTGAAGATAATTGATGGAATAATCCAAGCAAAAAGGGATAATAATTGCAGCAAGAAGATTAATAATTATGCTAATGATGAAGGATTAAGTAGTAATATAGGAAAAGATGTAGCAGATGCATTGATTAATGACAAAAGTGAGGAGCTGACAGATGAACTAATTGCAGAAAATATGATTGATTTAATGATTCCTGGTGAAGATTCTGTCCCTCTTCTTATCACTCTTGCTATCAAATACCTCTCTGATTCTCCTGCCTCCCTCGAACAATTTACGGTATTTTCTTCCTTTTATATATAAGATTTTATTTTATATATATATATATATATATATATATATATATATATATATATATATATATATATATATGTGTGTGTGTGTGTGTGTTTTATGTAGTTATTTTTTGGTTTTTGATGACATTAAGAAAAATAAAAATTTCAATAGTTTATATAGTTACTAGGATGTATTGGACAATTATACCCTTGTTTAATTTTATCTTAATTCAATTGGTAAATTACAACTACCTCCCTGGTGTAAAATCTAATTACGAAAAAAACTATTTTTCTTTAGTTTGTAAATTTCTTACATCAGTCCTACAAAAGGGTGTTAATGTAAGAAATTTACAAATTGCAATGCGTGGATGTAATTATCAAAAAATGAGGTTTTTTTTTTTGTAAATAGGCCTTACCTCGGGGGGTGATTGTAATTTACCCTAATTGAATTAATAGTCAAATGTTATTATAAATTTGGAATTAAGTTAAAATTAACAAGATATAAACGTTCAATACAACTTTAAACCTCCAAAAAACGTGGCGATAGAGATTTTTACTGCTCGTTCGATTTTATTGGGTCGATAATATTAAGAACTCTAAATAATTTACGGGTTTTTTAAGAAAATAAAATTTGATGCAAATAATTTTCTTTATTTACATAGGAGGAGAATCTTAAATTGAAGAAGCTAAAGGAGAAACTTGGGGAGCCATTTTCATGGAATGATTATTTGTCCATGCCCTTTACACAAAATGTAAGTTTTCAACATCAATTTCATGTAAATAAAAATATTAACTTCTTTTTAGGGGTTTAAAAGTAATTTTTGAAAATGTTGTGGTGGTTACAGGTAATTACAGAAACTCTAAGGATGGGAAATATAATAACAGGAGTAATGAGAAAAGCCATGAAAGATGTTGAAATAAAGGGATATTTAATTCCAAAAGGGTGGTGTGTTTTTGCATATTTCAGATCAGTTCATTTGGATGATAAATTATATGATTTTCCTTATCAATTTAATCCATGGAGATGGCAAGTAAGAATTTATTTATAAATTATATTATTTTTATTTTTATTTTAATTTTGGAAAATTTGATTTAATTGAATTGAAACTGAATTTTGTGGAAATTTTGATGCACAGGGTAAAGAAGTTAGTAATTGCAATTTCACCCCATTTGGTGGTGGTCAACGCCTGTGCCCGGGGCTTGACCTTGCCAGGCTGGAAGCTTCTATTTTTCTTCACTATTTCGTTACTCAATTCAGGTAATTCACAACTTTATTTTGATTAAATTGGATCCAATAAATGATTTAATTTAGGGTAAATTACAAGTACACCCCTAGGTATGGTCAAATTACGAAACACCCCATCCTGTTTGGGTAATTACAAACACTACCATCAACTATAAATTTTCTTACGCGTCCACCCTTGCGGTTTCAAATTTAGTGAAATTTTCGAGATTATATGGAATATTATCACTTTTTGTACCCGTTTTATCCCATTTGAACTACATAGTTTGAAGCAAGATGATCATAATATGTGTTTTTTGGCTTGTATATATCAGATTGTGGTGCATCAAAAACTTTAAACGAGTACAAACTAGAGTACATTCCACGAAATCTGGATGATTATGTTGGATTTGACACCATAAGGATGGAGGTGTAAGAAAAAAATCATAATTGAGAAGTAGATGTAATTATCCAAATAAGAGGGGTTTTTCGTAAATTAACCATACATCAGGGGTGGTTGTAATTTACCCTTTAATTTACTAATTGGAATTCAACATGCATTTTATTGATTTTTTGACTAAAAAAATTGCATTTTTTTTTCTATAGTCCTAATTATTGAAATGTGTCTTCATGTGGTTAATTATTAAATATTGATAGTCAAATTTATAATTAATTAGTTATATCTGGTTGGTGCTGGTTTATTTAGTGGGCCAACAAAAAAAAAAAAAATCAAATTCTAGTGCATTTTATAATATATTATTCAACCTAATTAATATTTTTTTACTATATATTATATTACAAAATATACATATTAAAAAAATAATTCATTGTTTATTTTTTTCTACAGATGGGAAGCTGAAGATGACTCCATTATTAATTTCCCCACTGTGAGAATGAAGAAACGGATGCCAGTTTGGGTGAAAAGACGAATATAACCCTCAAACTCATTTTCCAGCAAATACTATTATTGTAAAACAAAAGAAAGAAAGAAAATTAAATTATAATACTAGTAGGCAAAACAAAGCAAATATGATTACACTTTTAAAGAAAGTATATTTTTTTTTATTTATATTGGAAATATATATATATATATAGATTCAGAGTGTATAGATATATATAAATTTTTACATTTTCATTTTCCTATTATACCCCTCTTTTTTACTCTTGTCTGTATGTATAAAAATTTAAAAATTGATTCTTTTGTTAGGCAAAGTGGGCATGCATTATGATTGCATTTCTTTAATATATTGGACTATTATTAAATATTAACTACTTTTTCCTTCCCACTTGTAATATTTTGGGAGGAAGAATCATAAATTTATGTGGACAAATTGGATTGAAATTAACACTTTTGAAAATATATTTAGTAGTGTTTTCGAGGTGAAAAATAAAATTCATTTTTGTTAAAAAAAAAACCCTGGAAAAATGTAAAATCATATTTTCGAAGATTAAAATGAAAAATATTGTTCCAAAATAAAAAATAGCTGAATAGAAAATCGATTAAAAAAATATTTTATTATTCACTTGTAATATCTAATATATAATAATATTGATATTTTAATATGTTTTCTAGGAAAAAAACGTGAATGTTTCAGAATTTAAAATTCTAAACTGTGAATGAAATATCATGCTTTGTCGAAGAAAATCCAATTTTCCAGTTCCAATTTGTTACACTACTCTGAATAATGATGTATTTATGTGCCGCCAGCCTAACGAGGTGCTAAATATTTTTTTTGGTTTTGGTTTATCTACACTAACGATCAAAAAATAAAAATAAATCACGAATCCAAAAATTCGGAAAAAAAAATCCTAAAAAAATATATGTATTTATTAAAATTGACAAAATATTTTGCATCAATTTAATATAGTGTTTTAAAAAAGAACCATGCAAAATATAAACAAATTGCATTTAGAGCAAATTATAATTGGAAAATAAATTTATACACGGACTATTCTTTTGGACTTTCTTGACGGGCTTTTGAGCCCAATTAAGGAGCCAATTTGGGTTTAATGGGTAATTTCGTAATAAATCTGGGCCCAAAAAAAGAAAAAAAGAAAAAAAAAAGGTTGTAAATGCAAAAGAAATCATTGTTTAGTTAACATTTACCCCTTTACCCCTACAATACAGTAGAGTAGAGTGACCTTTTTTTCTTTTAATTCATTGAAATTCTTTATCGAAAATCATTATTATATCATTTTATTGTTCTGATTTAAGGTAAATAACCTTATATTTCAACTTTTTACTTATTATTTTCCATGTACTAAATAGAGCCGAGTAAACAGGGATCAAACGATCGTTTTGCAAAAAAAAAAAAAATGCGAAAATGAATTAAAATATAAGTCTAATACATCTCGCAATTTTAGAAGCAACTGAACCAATGTATTCCTCATCTGATGTTTGCGATGAATCGGACTGACGGAATTTTCATCTGAATTGATATGAATTCCATTGATCTCGCAATTTTAAGAATTGGTATGTATTTTCTAAAACTTTCTTGTGGAAACGACGTTGGATCACCGGAATCTGACGTGATTCATGAGTTACGCTCGTGAGCTTTGTTCGTTGGGCCTGTTTACTTGGCATACGGTGTTTAATATATATTAAAACTCAAGAAAACTTAATAAACCGGGAAAAATAATCATTTTGCAAAAAAAAAAAAAACGAAAATAAGTTAAAACCTATTTTTTATGTCGGATTTCCAAAATCCGATGCGATTCAGCAATAATTAAATCTAAAAAAACACAAGAAAATAAAAAAAAACACTTTGTTCCAAAAAAAGAAAAAAAAAAGAAGCAAAACAAACACGGACACAAGAAAGAAAGGATGGTAAAATTACAACCACCCACTGATATATGGTCAAATTATGAAAATTCCCCTCCTGTTTGGGTAATTACAACCATCCCCTCAACTATAAATTTTTTTACACGTCCACCCTTGCGGTTTCAAATTTAATGGAATCTTCAAAATTATATGGAATATTATCACTTTTTTACCCGTTTTATCCCATTCGAACTTTACATTTTAAGTAAGATGATGTGTTTTTTGGCTTGTATATATCACATTGTAGTGCATATAAAACTGTATTTTTGCACAAAACTAGTACAAACTAGAGCACATTCCACGAAATTTAAATAATTATGTTGAATTTGACACCACAAGGGTGAAAGTGTAAAAAAAAAATTATAACTGAGAAAATAAATATAATTACCCAAACAAGAGGAGTTTTTTCGTAAATTGATTCGTTACTCAAGAAAGAAGAAAAGAGGGGAACATAAAATTAGAAAACAAACAAGAAAAAAGAGAAGGAAAAGAACTGGAAGCAGCAGTATGCAGGTGAAATCGGCCGGCGTACAAAAACTTTCTGATCTTTCAATAATTTCCTTAGCTTCAAACGGCGTCTGTAATACACTGCCTGCAACTAATCGCAACTTAAGCTTCAGTAATGGCGGATTCTCAGTCTCTTCTTCCTTCGCCGCCATATCTCGGAAAACGCGACCTTTTCTGCTCAAGGTGAAAATTCAACATCTCGGAAAAAAAAGGGGGGATTTTTCTTCAATTTTGTCTTCTGATTTCTAATTGCCCTGTTGATTATCCCTCTTATTTTATTTATATGATTGTAATGTTGGTGGGGTTGATAAGATTGATTGGGATTGGGATTTGTTGATTATACACAATCCTTGTTATTGTGTAATTAGGTTGTCTATCAAACCCTATCCTAGTTCCCAAACGAGGCTTAATTGAATAAAACAGTGTGTGTTTGCTGATCTATGAGTTAACATATCTGATTTTCGGAGCCGGCAGGTAAATGCAGCTGCTGCAGAAACCGATGATCAGCCGAAGTGGTGGGAGAAGAATGCGGGCCCCAATATGATGGATATTCATTCAACTGAAGAATTCTTAGATGCTTTGAGCCAAGCTGGGGATAGATTAGTCATTGTTGAATTCTTTGGCGCATGGTGTGCTTCTTGCCGAGCTTTATTCCCCAAAGTGAGTCTCTTACTATTTCGATTATTCTACACTTTGTTTATGTAATATTGCAAAATTGTCTATTCTACATAGGGGTGGAAATTGGAACGGAATTTCCCATTTCTGTCGACTTCGATCCGGAATTTCCCGATTTTCGAACAACATTTTTTCATTCCGAATATTACTCTTCCGATTTTTTTATCAGAACTGGAATATAGATGAGATTCGATCCGATTATAATTTCAAAAAGTCATTTCAAAAATTCCTTTTCTTTTGTTTCCGGGAAAAATTACCATTTAGAAGATCACTATTATTATATATTTTATAGTTTAGATGACTCAAAAATTGGAATTTTCCGAATTCCGCCGATTCTGATCCGAAAATTTCCGATTTTGAAACGAGCTTCTTCTTTCAATTTCCGATTTCTTTTTACGGGATTGGAATTGGTTTTTCACTTGTGAAAAATGGGAACATTTCGAAAAGTGCTAATTCCGGTACGTCCAATTTCCTACCCTAATTCTACATATTATTTCCTATTACCCTTTTTCTTTTTGTGTAGTTGAACTCTTTATCTAGTGAAATAAGTTGTTATTGTTATAGTTTTCATTGCACTAGACTCGAGTTTACTGCTCAATTTAACTCTGTAATATATTTGGGACCTACTTTTTCTATGTTATTACATCTTATGTACTCGATTTTAGATTTGCAGGATTGCGGAACAACACCCGGAAATTATATTTCTAAAAGTGAATTTCGACGAGAATAAGCCACTCTGCAAAAGTTTGAATATAAAAGTCCTCCCATATTTCCACTTCTACAGAGGATCCGATGGCCTCTTAGATTCCTTTTCGTGCTCTCTCGCTAAGGTAGGACCACAAAATTTTCTTTATATGTTATTATTAGTTCTCTGATATATTAAGTCCTCGTTTGGTTGGGGAGATTAGCCATGATTAATTAAATTATTGGACTTTGTTTGATGTTTCGTAAACCCAATAATTTTCCGGGTCGGCCCGAAAAAATATTTTTTTATCATGGTCTCTATTGCCTTTTAGGGAGGTTATCCAATATAATTGGGTTTTCATTAGATTATTTAATCTTATCTTGTCTTATCTTACCGTAGGAACCAAACGAGGCCTAACATTATGACTTTCGTCAGCACTAAAAAAAAAAGCATATCTAAAATAGTGTATGTTAGTTGGATGTGAGATCTGTGAAGCTAGTAAATAATTGTTTCTCGTTTTCTCGACTTGCAATTTTACGATAACTATTTATATTATACTTTGCTAATTAGAAATTAAAATTATGCAGCTCCAGAAATTGAAGGATGCCATTGCAGCTCATAACAAAGCTCTTCACAAGGAGGGTTTTCTCGAGGATAATACATTATAGCTGGATTCGAGGTAGGTTTTTCGAGTTTTTCTATTTGCAATGTTCGTGTGGTTCGTCTAAATACTTTGAAAAAAAATGTTGTATATAGTTCTTTGCGCAAAGTACTTCGATACATATTTGAACTCAACTTTGTATATTATCCCTAATTAAACTGAATGAAATCATCGATTCAACTTCCTTAGTTATGCACTGAATTTGAGTCCAAGAAAAAACACGACGGTTTTCTGTTGTGTTATAATTTTACAGCTTAACCGAATGCTGCTTTTCTGCTTCTTTCATTCTCTTTTCGAACTCTTTCCATTCGGCATGACTCCTTGCCCGAACCTGAAATATAATAATAATAATAAAATATACATTTTTTTTTCAATTATAAATAAAAAACATTCCCTTAACATTTGGTTTTAATTTTTAATAATTCAATGAGGTATTTATTATTTACCTCAAGCCGTGCTTGTGTTCGATTTATGGATTTACTCTGCATGAAAAAATGTAAAAATCGATCAATTAGCTCAATATCTAATCTATTTTTTTAATTTTTTTAATCTCTATATTTAATAAATAAAAAATCTTGATAATTTATTTAGTACATCATATTAATACCTCATCGCTTAGAGTAGGCAATACCAAATGCTTGATCCATTGTGCATCAACCACACCTATCTTTTCTTCTGGCTTCTGCAATTTCATAATTCCAAATAGAATAGAATATATATATATATATATATATATATATATATATATATATATATATATATATATATATATATATATATATATATATATATATATATATATATATATATAGAGACACACACACACACAAGATTAGCTAATTACTTAAAATAATTACTTAATTTGTAACAATGTATACCAATATGTAAGTTTAAGTTGACATTTTTACCTCTACACACTTCCAAAATGCAAAATCAAGACCCCATCCATGCACTAAATCATTCTGTAAGAGTAAATAAATTGTTAATTTTTTTGGGTAAATTACAATCACCACCCTGAGGTAAGGTGTATTTATGAAGAAAAAAAACCTTATTTTTCCATAATTACATCCACCCTCTCTCAATTTGTAGATTTCTTACATTAACCCCCTTTTGGGGGGGG